CCATGGCTGGCATTAAGCATATGGGAATTCGACATTTTGCAGAATTTATGCATTCTGGGGGGAAAGCGGGGCTTACATGAGAAAAGCAATTCGTGGTAGTAACTTAAGCAAGCTAGAAGAAAAGATCAACTTACAAAATACAATTTTAGTAGTCATTTGAATCAAATAAGTTCAAACTAGAAGGCCATCTTTATTATGCAGTAGTCGTTGAATATTTTCCAGAAATCTCTTAGGTAAATTCATTTCTGGCTCCTCCAACACAAAGTTCCTATGGATAACTAAATTAAGGCTTACGATTTTTAATGTTAGGTAAAACACATTAGGCCTTAATAGATGATGCTGATTTATCCCTTGCTTACTTTCAGATGTATATTGAGTGCAATATCTATTCATTTTCAAAAGGCATCCATTTGGAGAGAGAGCGGCAAAGAGAATTGGATCTCTTCATGTGTTCGCAACACAGCACAGTTATCCCCATTTTATAATCAGCATGTGGCCACAGGAATTCATTTTTGATCTTATATATAAAAGGTCATTGTACATGTCAGCAATAGTGAGATGAGAACGCCAAAGAAGTTTGTTTAACTTATCCTGCACCAAGACTCAAATGAAATACCATATCATGCCCATCGTGCCCATCAGTCTCTGTCTCCAGCCCAGAAATTAGTCTGCCAGAAACCCAGATAGCTGGAAAAGCAGCTATGTTTATCAGACAGCTGATTCCAAGAGGCCACTTTAAAGGAACATTATTATGTGTCCTATATTAAGGGGGAAAAGTATCCCACATTTTACAAAGGTCTCTCTTTACTCAAGAGAACAAAGGGCACAGATTTTGAAATGCAGTGATTTTAAAAATAAACAACACAAACTTGAAAATTTTAACATGGCAGATTAACCTCTCCAGAAACCTCCACATACATTATTCCTGTGAAGACACAATGTTGCTTCAGAAAAAAAATTGGTAGCCTTTGCTATTTGCTGATTTTAAAAATTAATTGAGAGTATGGCATAACAATGTCACAGGCCATCGTGGCCATGCAAACACGGACATGAACAGTACTTCCTCATCCTTTGGAAGAAATGAGGTTTTACAACTTTAACCCAAAGGGTATTAGTGAGGATAATTTTTGGAGAAGTAACTCCATGTTTTAAAACATGTCCTTAAGACCAATTCATTGGCTACCTTATTTTGCCGTTCCTCCTGAAAACAAGTGAAATATATGTAAACCCTTATTAGATGATCAAAAATTGCTAAGGATTACACAATCCAACGAATGAATAACTGTTGGAGAACAGTGACGTGATGGCAGGGAGCCTCTGAGCTGAAACATTCTGCTAACTAGGAACTGAACTTGAAGTCTGTTTCAGGATGAAAGGGCTGGTGCAAAGTTCACAGAACATCCAGAAAAAATGAACATCATCTCTACCAATTATGGTCATATTTAAAATTTTGCATTGAACTATTTTACATCTTATGATGTTTCACTAAAACTTAATGTGTTCTAGAGAGTGTTTCTCCTACTCTCACTTTTGGTGCTAACAGTCCATAATTAAGTTTCTTCTCCAAACAAAAGCATCTGGTAAAGGCATTAAAATTCATGCAACGTCTAACGTACGCACTCTATCACTAGTAGAATGTGCTTCAGTCCCAAGAAATTTCAATTTCCTTACCAATGCTATAAATATCTTGATGGACAAAAACAGACAAAGGTATGTTAAATGGCTGCACACATCTGCAGATTTCTTGTCATTCTTATTTCTCAAGTGTCTTCCAAAGACTTAACCTGAATACCAAGTTGAAGTTTTTGTCAAGTCAGTATAATTTTTAAAATGTTTCCTTGCAATCCAGTCTCTACAAGTCAATAATCGCCTCTTCTCATCTGTAATATTTCATTGTCATACTTCATGTACTCTCAAGTTTCACATCAGAAAGTTCTAAACCATTTTAAGATATTTATGGCAATGCATGGGAATAAACATTGAAATGTATGTAAGTATGTGTCTTTATATAATACTTTTTGGGAAAACATCTATTATAATGTAAATATATACAACAAATATTTTGCTATTTTAACCAGTTTTAAATATACAAATCAATGTACAGAAGTCAAGTACAACATTAATTGCATGCATTGTATAGTGCAAAAGTCACTATCCACAAGAGTGTACAAATGTGCTTGACACAATTGATGTCTGTATGGAGTGCGATGAGAGCTGTACGAGCCCCAAACAAAATGATTTTTTTTTAAAGTATAATATTACTTTTTAGTTGATGTTTACTTTCCCTCTTATGGCTCAGTATAAAGTAGGTATTCATCATATTTGCAAAGTTTTACTCCTTTCATAAACCATTGCACATATTTATTTATCAGATACTATTAATAAGCCATACAGCACATCAACACTAGAAAATTTTAGTCATATACAGACAGGTGAATTTAGCTTCTGTTCAAATTATGGAAAACTGGCTTCATATTGACTCTCCTTTCCATCCACCTGGATAAAGTGGACAATGTTGTAATATATACACAGCATCTACTTTTACACCCCTTTCTCATGCCCAGCAAAACTTCAACTGGGGTCAGAGGCTTATTCTTCATTTCATTGTGACTTTGGTGACGTCCCCACTTTCTGATCTGAGAGCAGATTCTCAAGCATATTAATACCATATTGATTAATACCATATGAATCCCCTAGTCACGTGGTCATGAGAAACTCAAGCTTATGGCTTAGGCGAATCAGCACATGGAATGTTTCTAAGGAATGGCACTGGCCTGGGGCTAACAGACCAGAGATGCCTGTTGGGAAGCCTATTGTCTCAGTTACGGCTGGCATCTTACAGTCATAGCCAGCTTTGAGGATCACTGCCATGAAGTGGATGGCAGATACCTTATATATACAACTCAAGGTTAACTCAAAACAAACGAGCCAAGAACGACAGGGCCAAGATAAATAGATGAAAAGAATGGCACTATCAAGTATATCTAATCTGAAGCCCACTAGTCTCTACACTTTCCGTAATGGACAGTAACATATTTCCATAATAGTTAAAGAGAAAAAAAAAACACATCCATTGAGTCAATTCTGACTATAAGACAGGACAGAACTGCCCCTGTGAGTCTGTAAGGCTTTAACTGTTTATCGGAGTAGAAAGCTTCATCTTTCTCCCAAGGAGCCACTGAGGTTGCTGAACTTTGTGGCCAGCAGCCCAGTGTGTAACCACTGTGCCACCTGGGCTCCAATTTAAATCGTATTTTATGAGTAAGAGCCACTCCCTCTCTGGATGATTAGAATCTGCCATCAACCACTCACTCAAAATCACCCGAGTTGTATTCCCAGAGTTGGCCTTCTGACCTAAGGTCACGCTAGTAGAAAACACAGACACTTCTGCTCCCCACTTCACATTGTAGACAGAGCCAAAGAAAAGCATTGAATTTGTATGGAATAACAGACAATAGCCATTCTTATATTGAAACCACCTTCCCAGACTGAGTTTCCGGTGTTCTTTCCTCTTACCTCTCTCACACTGAGGACCAGTGAATCCATACACGCAGGCACAGCGGTTGGGTCCAATGCAACGTCCTCCGTTCTGACATCCATTGTCACAAACCGCTGCACAGAAACACAGAAGAAGCTCAGTATGCAGCTGATCTGATCATAACACAGCTGCGTGGAGATGCTGCCGGCAGAAGTTAAATTACATCTCTAAGTGCAAGCTCTTTCTCTCCAAAACACAGTGTAGCTCACAGCATACATTTCCGTATGTGTGCTTACATCCCAGTGCACCCGGAGACAGAGGGTTACACAATTCATGTGAGTCACATTGTCAAGCAAGCACTCATATTTGGTAAAAGGTGTATTTTTTTAATAAACTGAATCACAGTGACCAGAGACTCTGATGTTCATTGATTTTGAATATAACTCTTCATTTTGAATATAACTCCTTAATGGAGGACCATTTGGGCTCTACTAAGGCTATAATCCATCCATACCAAAACCAAACTCATAGTGACCCTGTGACTTCATGAGACTATAACTCTGCATGAATACAAAAACTCTTCTGTAGACCATAAAGCAGCTGGTGGTTTTGAACTGCTGACCTTGTGGTTAGCAGTCCAATGTGTAACCACTATGCCACCAGGGCTCATCTAGCCATAGGAAAGAAAAGTAACAAAATATGAGTACAAAAATTGAAAATGCAAACAAAAGGAAGCAGAATCTATGGAGACAAGAAAGAGGGAGATCAAAAATGCGAAAGAAAACAAAGTCATCCAGAACAAAATTAAGAGGACACAGCCATAACTGGAGAAGCGAAAGTCAGAGAAGGAAATGAGAGCAGGAAAAAGAAGGGAATCCCAGAAAGGACAATGGGAAACGTGGGAGGAGGGGGAATGCCACCCACATAGACAGTAAAATACTAAAGAGATAATTCCAGAAACATATCTAATGAGTGCACGAAAGTCATAGGATGAAAAAAAAACAGCAACAAAACAGAACAGAAAATCTCACTGTCAATAAAATAAGTATTTTCTTATAAATGAACTCACCTTCCAGATAGTTCAATGAACAATGACACACACACAGTATACACCCCCCGCATTGGATTTTGTGACTCCAAGGAAAATTGGGCTTGATTTGGGCTGTGGCGACGGCACCGGCGTCTCACTCACACTGGGGGCTGAGTGGCTCTCTCGCCAGACCACAAGGCCCTGCAATGTAACTCGAGCTCAGCAGGCAGATCACACAGTGAGACAATCTCCTTCATCAGGACCACTTTTTGTTTTTCATTTCCAAAACCATTTTATTGGGAGCTAATACAGAGAGCATGTCATTCCATAGTTCAGTCAATTACTACTCTTCAGAATGCTCAAGAGTAAGTTACTGACAACAAACTCACTGTCACAGTCCATTCCGAGTGGAAGGCTTTACAAGAGCGGACAACCTCAACTTTCCCCCTTTGAGCAGCTGATGGACTTGAACAGAAACCTTGCAGTTAGCAGGCCAATGCCACCAGGGCTCTGGGATGTTGTTGCTTTTAAGTGCCATCAAGTCAGTTCTGGCCCGCAGTGATGTTATGTACAAATGACCGAAATACCGCACAGTCCCATAACATCCTCACCATCGACCCTGTGCCTGAGCCCACTGTTGCAGCCACCTTGTTGAGCAACCCCTATCCATCACACTGAGGGCTTTCCTCTTTTCTGAGGCCCCTTCACTTTACTAAGCGTGATGTCCTCCTCTAGGGACTGGTCTCTCTTGACAACATGTCCAAATACTGGAATCAACGTTTGGACATCCTTGCCTCTAAGGAGCAATCTTGCTGTACTACGAGACAGACTTGTTTGTTCTTCTGGCAGTCCACAGTACTTTCAATATACTTGCCAGCACCGCAATTCAAAAGCATCGATTCTTCTTTAGTCTTTCCATTTTCACATGTGCATGAAGCAATGGATAATACCATGGCTTGGGGCAGTGGCACGTTAGTCCTCAAAGTAACATTGTTGCTTTTTATACTCTAAAAAAGTCTTAAAATAGGCGGGATAAACAATCTGGAGAATAAAATAACGGTACTGATTGTTCCAGGGGGTATCAGGAGAGGTGGGGAAAGGAAGTGGGTGTTAACAACCCCAGGGACAGGGAACAACAAGTGATCCAAAATTGATGGCAAGGAGGACATAGGAGACCTGGTAGGGCTTGATCAAGGCAAGAAGATTATTGAAACCCAAATAAAGCTGAACATGATAGTGGGATAAGAGGAAAGTAAAAAGAAATAAAGGAACTAGGAGGCAAAGGGCATTTATAGAGGTCTAAATACAGGCACGTATGTATATTTATATATGTAAATATATTTACATATAATGATGGGGAAATAGATCTATGTGCATATATTTACATGTTTAGTATTAAGGTAGCATATGGACATTGGGCCTCTACTCAAGTACTCCCTCAATGCAAGAACACTTTGTTCTATTAAACTGGCATTCCATGATGCTCACCTTCCAACCTGATCTCTGA